TGATTTTCATCCATAAAGGTTTGCAGTTCAACCCACTGTGCACACATTTCCTTAATCTTTGAAGTAGGCACAATGGATTCCACAAACTGGCATAGGCTTCTCAGGGTTAGCCCCAAACCCTTCAAAATCTTTCTTAATTTCCATACTAATTCTCACCCTTTTTACCACAGGGTTGGCACTAGAAGCTTTCTTGGGGCCCATGGTCACTTATTTTCCAGAAACAGCACCGAAAACACTGTAATAATACGAAATATTCCGAGTGTATGCTTGGATGTTACCGCGGAGGCTGGCTGGTAAACAATGGGACGGGCGGCACATGTGAGGCTGGCTGAGGGCACATTGGACGCGTCTCGGACGAAAATCGGTGAGCGGGTTTTTAATCGGTATGCGCGGCAAAAATTTTGCGATAAAAGTAAGCGGTATGCGGAAAAATCGCTATGTGATGCCATCGTTATGCGGGGGTCCACTGTACATGATTAGAGTTGGATCAAACATAATGCAGACTGCATGTGCAGCTGTTCTTGGTGAATCTGCCATTCATATCATTCTTGACACTGAGAAGAAAAAGAGATTGTGCAGAGAGTAATTCAGTTATGACACTTATTTAATTCTTTAACCCATAAATGGTCCAAGCAGATCTACGTTCACATGTGTAGTGCTACAAAAGTAGATCTAAGTTTTTTTTACACATTTTCAAATATAACAAAAAACAAGTAGATCAAAGTTTTTTTACACATTTTCAAATGTAGAAAAACAAAAAGAAGATATACTTTTTTTTACATACTTTCAAATGTTGAAAAAACGTATATATATGTTTGGACCGTTTACGGGTTAACTGTCCAAATGTTCATATTCATTTTTACTACTAGCACTCCAAATATTTTGATTTTTTTTAAACTGCTGGCAATTTTCTGTGTAAAATACAAAAAAAAAAAAAAAATTAGAGCAATACTTATGAGATATAAAGTGGCAAACTCGGCACTGGATGCTCATGTGACAGCAACATGGAGTCCTGCCACTTTCAGAAGTATTCCTGATATACCTTTTTGTCTCGTGCTTTTTTCTAATTTACATTATTTTAATGTTCTAACAATTACAGTTTATAGTAGTTCTTGTGATTTCGTAGCCAGTCTTTGTTCTGACACTAATATTAGGTATGGAAATAGTAAGCAGATAGTCACAAACACACTGACAGGTGAACACGTTCACTTGCCTTGGTCGCATACTATTGTCCATAAATATGTACAAATTATTTATAGATCCCAGCAATGTTTTTAGAAGTGCTAGAGTGTGAAACTCCTAAGCACAGTGTCAGACAAGAGTGTCACTTTACACTGCAGGTCTTGCACTGGTAGTGTCACTCTACACTGCTGATCATGCACTGGTAGTGTCACTCTATGCTGCTGATCATGCACTGGTAGTGTCACTATAATGATCATGCACTGGTAGTGTCACTATAATGATCATGCACTGATAGTGTCACTAAACTGCTGATCATGCACTAGTAGTGCCACTACGTTGCTGCTCATGCACTGGTAGTGTCACTACACTGCTGATCATGCACTGGTAGTGTCACACTACACTGCAGACCATTCACTGGTAGTGTCACACTACACTGCTGACCATGCACTGGTAGTGTCACTCTACACTGCTGATTATGCACTATAGTGTCACTATCGTAGGGGTTCTTAAATGGAGATATCGAGGGTTGAAGGTAGACACACTTGTTGGATGGTTAACATATATTGTCAGACTGAGATGATGAGGAATGGAGCCCAGCCTTGCCGTGTTCTAGTCTGGATGCTCTGCCGCCGAGTGAGGCCGGGGCAGAGGTACGAGCCTACACATGTGCATCCCGTGACGTCACACAAAGTCACAGGCCTACAAGGGATCTCCTATCTAAAGCACATGGACAATACTAATATGCTATGCTATATAACACAGGGATCAGCAATTATGCTGACATCACTACATTGGTGGTCATGCACTGGTAGTGTCACACTACACTGCTGATCATGCACTGGTAGTGTCACACTACACTGCTGACCATGCACTGGTAGTGTCACTCTTCACTGCTGATCATACACTGGTAGTGTCACTCTACACTGCTGATCATGCACTGGTAGTGTCATTCTACACTGCTGATCATGCACTGGTAGTGTCACTACACTGCTGATCATGCACTGGTAGTGTCATTCTACACTGCTGATCATCCACTAGTAGCATCACTCTTCACTGCTGATCGTGCGTTAGTAGTGTCACTCTAAAACACTGATCATGCACTGGTAGTGTCACTCTACACTGCTGATCATGCACTATAGTGTCACTACACTGCTGATCATGCACTGGTAGTGTCACACTACACTGCTGATCATGCACTGGTAGTGTCACTACACTGCTGATCATGCACTGGTAGTGTCACTCTACTCTGCTGATCATGCACTGGTAGTGTCACTACACTGCTGATCATGCACTGGTAGTGTCACTCTACACTGCTGATCATGCACTGGTAGTGTCATTCTACACTGCTGATCATGCACTGGTAGTGTCACTCTACTCTGCTGATCATGCACTGGTAGTGTCACTCTACACTGCTGATCATGCACTGGTAGTGTCACTCTACTCTGCTGATCATGCACTGGTAGTGTCACTCTACACTGTTGATCATGCACTGGTAGTGTCACTCTACACTGCTGATCATGCACTGGTAGTGTCACTACACTGCTGATCATGCACTGGTAGTGTCACTCTACACTGCTGATCATGCACTGGTAGTGTCACTCTACACTGTTGATAATGCACTGGTAGTGTCACACTACACTGCTGATCATGCACTGGTAGTGTCACTACACTGCTGATCATGCACTGGTAGTGTCACTCTACACTGCTGATCATGCACTGGTTGTGTCACTCTACACTGCTGACCATGCACTGGTAGTGTCACTCTACACTGCTGATCATGCACTGGTAGTGTCACTCTACACTGCTGATCATGCACTGGTAGTGTCACTCTACACTGCTGATCATGCACTGGTAGTGTCACTCTACACTGCTGATCATGCACTGGTAGTGTTACTCTACACTGCTGATCATGCACTGGTAGTGTCACTCTACACTACTGATCATGCACTGGTAGTGTTACTCTACACTGCTGATCATGCACTGGTAGTGTTACTCTACACTGCTGATCATGCACTGGTAGTGTCACTACACTACTGATCATGCACTGGTAGTGTCACTACACTGCTGATCATGTACTGGTAGTGTCACTCTACACTGCTGATCATGTACTGGTATTATCACTCTACACTGCTGATCATGCACTGGTAGTGTCACTACACTACTGATCATGCACTGGTAGTGTCACTCTACACTACTGATCATGCACTGGTAGTGTCACTACACTACTGATCATGCACTGGTAGTGTCACTACACTGCTGATCATGTACTGGTAGTGTCACTCTACACTGCTGATCATGCACTGGTAGTGTCACTACACTGCTGATCATGTACTGGTAGTATCACTCTACACTGCTGATCATGTACTGGTAGTATCACTCTACACTGCTGATCATGTACTGGTATTATCACTCTACACTGCTGATCATGTACTGGTAGTGTCACTCTACACTGCTGATCATGTACTGGTAGTGTCACTCTACACTGCTGATCATGTACTGGTAGTGTCACTACACTACTGATCATGTACTGGTAGTATCACTCTACACTGCTGATCATGTACTGGTATTATCACTCTACACTGCTGATCATGTACTGGTAGTGTCACTCTACACTGCTGATCATGTACTGGTAGTGTCACTACACTACTGATCATGTACTGGTAGTGTCACTCTACACCGCTGATCATGTACTGGTAGTGTCACTACACTACTGATCATGTACTGGTAGTGTCACTCTACACTGCTGATCATGTACTGGTAGTATCACTCTACACTGCTGATCATGTACTGGTAGTGTCACTACACTGTTGATCATGTACTGGTAGTGTCACTCTACACCGCTGATCATGTACTGGTAGTGTCACTCTACACTGCTGATCATGTACTGGTAGTGTCACTCTACACTGCTGATCATGTACTGGTAGTGTCACTCTACACTGCTGATCATGTACTGGTAGTGTCACTACACTGCTGATCATGTACTGGTAGTATCACTCTACACCGCTAATCATGTACTGGTAGTGTCACTACACTGCTGATCATGTACTGGTAGTGTCACTCTACACCGCTGATCATGTACTGGTAGTGTCACTACACTGCTGATCATGTACTGGTAGTGTCACTCTACACTGCTGATCATGTACTGGTAGTGTCACTACACTACTGATCATGTACTGGTAGTGTCACTACACTACTGATCATGTACTGGTAGTGTCACTCTACACTGGTGATCATGTTCTGGTAGTGTCAGTACACTACTGATCATGTACTGGTAGTGTCACTCTACACTGCTGATCATGTACTGGTAGTGTCACTACACTACTGATCATGTACTGGTAGTGTCACTACACTACTGATCATGTACTGGTAGTGTCACTACACTGCTGATCATGTACTGGTAGTATCACTCTACACTGCTGATCATGTACTGGTAGTGTCACTACACTATTTATCATGTACTGGTAGTGTCACTACACTACTGATCATGTACTGGTAGTGTCACTACACTACTGATCTGTACTGGTAGGTGTCACCACATACTGATCATGTACTGGTAGTGTCACTTTCACTGCGATCATGTACTGGTAAGTGTCACTCTTACACTGTGATCATGTACTGGTAGTGTCACTCTACACTGCTGATCATGTACTGGTAGTGTCACTACACTGCTGTGTGTTTCTTTCTCTGTCTTCTCTCTCTATCTGCTAGCTTTCCTCTCTTTTTTCTAGTCAGCCTACCACGGTGGGAGATAGCTAATATCTTAAAAAAAGATGTAATTGTTTCTTTCAAAGAGTAATAGAAATATTCTTATTTTTTAGTATTGGTTACTTTGTGGAGCCAACGATTGTGCAGACAACAGATCCACATGATCGCCTCATGACAGAAGAGATTTTTGGACCCATCCTTACAGTTTATGTTTATCCTGATGGACAAGTAAACAGCATGATCAATCTTGTCAATACATCTACTCCATATGCTCTAACTGGAGCCATATTTAGCCAGGATGAGTAAGTATTGGCTTTCAAGGTTTTGTAATTTTAGCAAATTGAATACTAATTAACTTTATTTGTCATATTACAGGTACAGTTAACCCTTTGGGGTCATGATCCCTGCTCTCAAACTTGCTGTCAGGGTCGCAACTCCTGCTCTCAAACTTGCCCTCAGGGTCACGACCCCTGCTCTCTTTAAGTGTTAGGTTAAGTCTGCTTGAAATGTCTTGGCATGATAGTGGCTTTCTTTGTACCAGTCATATTATGAAATTTAAACACACATTGTAACCTTAGCAAAGAAATAAAGTTTTGATTTTTATTTGAAATTTGCTCTCAGGGTCACAAAATAAAAAAAAAAATATTCTTATGAAGTGGTAGAGAATTTTTTTCTGAAGGTAATAAAACAAAAAAGTACAATATTTGATGGAAAGCTGAAGAAATTATAGTTTCGCAAAATTTGCTGTCAGTGATATTTACACATTGGCGATTTTGTCCACTCCGAGTCCGATTTTAGGTCAATTCCATTGTTCCAGTTGACCAAATTCTTAGCTATTTTGCTAGTATGTCTTCCAGTCTATCGAGTGAGTACAAGAAACTGCCCATTCAACTATTTAAACTGCCCAATAAAGTGATCAGAAACTGGTAATTTGGCCAATTTCACACAAATTGAAGAAATGACTAATTTGGAATAAGGTTTAGAATAAACAATCCAGACATTCCGGGCACTAAAATAACATTTTCTCTGCCCCTATTCATTAGTCATGTGTTCCTGGCTTTCTTATATTACACTTGTTTTCCATTTTGATTTTTTCTCACACAGAAATAGAAGATTTATGTTTATGCAGACTACTACATTATTGATACAATAATTGTAATCAATAATTCAGTAGTCAGTGCTTAATGTGTATAAGACAGCCGTTTAGATGTGTATTAGAAAAGTGTACTCTAGAATATTGGCAAAAAATCGAACATTTTGTCTACTAATTTGAACTCAATTTTAAGGCTACTTTCTTTCTGAACTAATCAAATCATCTCTATTTCTGCTACTATATCTTTTGTTCTATCAAAAAGAGACTAAGAAACCAAGATACAACCATAAAAACCATACAAAAAAATACACTGCAAAGTCACTATTTTAAACCATAAAACACAGTTGCAGTTTTTTCTCATGCACTGCGTTGCCGCAGGATTTTTCTTTTTTATGGGTGCACATTTATCAAATACACCTATTCTTTCATATCTGGCCAATTCACCACTCACAGCTTATATGAGTCAGCTGAAGCTATGGCTTTGTACCATGGGACAGACCGGGCTTAAGACCCATGAATACAAGGACTGACCCTGAATGAGTTTTAACAGATTCTTGAGTTTATTGGACAAAAACATGAGGACATTCCAGTCTATCCATTGAAATCTTCCACCTCCCAACCATACTCAGACAGCATGGGTTCCTCGATCCTCAAAGGAGGTGATCCAACTGAAATGAAAACTTTATGCTATATAAAACTGCATCTTCTATCTAAAATCTTTGAAAAAATTAATTCACAAATGTGAAGGCTTACTCAGCCCTGTACAACTTCAGACATATTACCAAGGCTGACTCCTCAGGGTAAATTAATGATTTGAAAAAAGAGTTAATAATTCTCAAAGATAAACACTTTATTATTTATTAATGCAAAAATAAAACAGGGAAACATGAAAGAAAAATGAAATTGAAATGAAAAAATGACATTTGAATTCAACGCTAATTTATATATATAGTGATACTGGGGTGGTCTGCTGGAGGTTGACACCGTCTTGAGAGATCGTAGCCATTGCCGTATTATTTTTCTTAAGGATGTTGATTGATAAAGCTTAGGTTTCCCTTGGGTTCTATGAGGTTAATCAACCTTCCACAAATTTTAACCACCATTATATGGACCTTACCTTGTACTATTAATTATTGATTGAGAGGCAAAGTTACCAGAACTTCTCCCCTACTTTAAAACTTCTCCTCTGACTTTTGTAATCAAAATAGGTTTTGTACTGGTCCATTGACAAGCTTAAGTTTTTTTGAAACTATGGTCAGAGGTTACTCAAGTTTGGTCTAAGGTCAAGGAGAAACTGATAAGAAGACTGAACCACAGCCTTTACGTCCTCATTAGTCCATAAGTCTGAAGGATGGACATTGGACCCTCTGGCCTGTCTCCATAGAGAAATTCATCAAAGGTGTAAAAACCCCAAGAGTCTCTGGGAACTTCTCTCATGGCGAAACAAAGCACAGGGTAGGTACGATGCCACTACATAGGTTTAAGGGAGCAAAGTTTCTTAAAAGGACTTTAGAACGAATTGCTGGCGCTCAATCTTCCCATTACAGCTGGGATGTTATGGTGTTGTGAGAGAGGCTTCACTCCCAGAAGTTGGTAGAGTTGTTGCATTAAGTCAGATGTGAAATTGTGTCCCACGTCAGACAAAATCTCTCTAGGGGGATGCCAACTCTGGAGAAGAGGACAAAAGGTTCAGCCACCTCTGTAGTAGTTATGGTCTGTAAGGTACGCTTCAGGGAAAAACTCGAAAAGCATAATCAAACTAATGTTAATTTTATCTATGTCCCCCAGATGTAAGTGGAGAATAAAGGACCCAACGATGTTCAATAGCTACTCTTTCAAAAAGGTACGTAAAGATTTGGCATTTTTACCTAAGGTACTCGCCTGGTACCTCGGGAGGATGACAGTTGGCCAAACATTAACGATCTACAATAGCGAGTGATTTCTGAGGTACATTTTCAGCCAAAAGTAGGTTTCCCTAATTTTATTTAAGGTTTTACGATTGCGAGAAATGTCCGGCAACTGGTAGGTCATGAGCATTTTAGAACGTCTCTCTGCATTAACTTGGAACAACTAATGATGGAATTGTCTATTCTCATCTGAATTTAATTTTGATTACTGTTTTTACACAAGATCCCTTTTATATATTCAACTTTATATGAAAAGGTTTTTCCTTGGATAACTTGATTTTGTCTAGCTGCATTATGGCAGTTTTCTGAAGGAAGGCATTTAAGTTGTAAATATTATATTCTAATGGCTTAATGTCAGGGAAATCTAAGGATGGACAGTAGGAGAAGCCGGGGCTTGGTCTGAGCCCTAGTCAAGACATTTATAGTATCGGTAGGTGATATCTCACTTTCATTAACATGTTGAACCGGTGATTTACTATCTCGTTTTTCAAAAAAAGAGTTGTATCACTGGTTCTAACCCCACAGGATATCCGAGTCATTGTCTCATCTGAACTTTTGAGGGGGCTTCTCTGACTCTACAGGAGAGGATCTGAAAGCTTATTCCATCCATGGTGATGAAAGGTAACCTCAGAGGAAGATTGGACACTTTACATTACTCTTAGTACGGGGCAAGAAGTGATGGGAGCTAGTACGGCTTTAGGACCAAACTGTGAACCATTTTAGACCTAATAACAACGGATGGTAGGAAAGGTCTGTATGGCCAAGTAGTCTGAAGTATAGCAGAGGTATGAGTTTCTTTTAGGTTAGGGAACAGCTATCAGATATTACTATACATGTGCATCCAGTGTCTCGTAAAAATGGTAGATACATTAAGTCCATGAACTTGTTATGAACGAAGGTGCCTGAGTCATTACAGTCCTTTATAACATCTTTTCCAACTTCTTTCCCTCTTTGGACCTTCTTAGGACAATCGGACTTGTTTATGTTCACTTAACACCACATAACTGACAAACAGAATAAAAGAAGTCAGTTTTACTTTCAATAGAGGCTTTGATTTTTAAGATCTGGTGAACCTTGCCCTTAGGGTTTGATCCTTTAGGGCTTTATAGGAATTGTGAAGCCTCAGCATAAAGTCAGTAGCCTCAGCAACCCTTCATTCAGCTTTAATCGGTTAGTTCTTAATGAATGTTCGTATCTGGTGAGGAAGAGCTGTTCAGACCTGGTCAGCAACCATGAAGTCTCTAAGAGATTATAACTGTGATCAATTCCGATCTCTCTATCCAAAAAGTCGAACAAACGGAAAGAGTGTTACCTGTAACTGCTGAAAAGTTTTGGCCATGCTGTAAGGTGGCATACCTGAATCTTTCCTATAGCAATTTGTTGGTTTTCAGATATGCTTAAGGATTGCCTTCTTCAGTAGGTATAATTACATTTGTTATCCTGTGACAAAGTTGCTAAGATATTCAAAGCTGTACCAGAATATAACATTCCTAACCTGGGTATTATTTTTTTTTTATATTATTTTTTATATTTTTTAATTAACCCAGGTGTCTGAGGCCATTCACGTGTGTAGCGGTATTGCTCAAACCTGATAATGTATGAAGTTGTTGGTTCTCCCTCTGATGAAGGGAGGTAAATTAGGTGTTGGAATAGTGCATTAGTGCACATTGTTCCATTACTCCTTCCTCTATTGCTGTGTGAGAAAGTTAACTTTTGATTCTCTATTTCAAGGCGGAATTTCTCTACCTCGCGATCTTTTCTCTTTCTCTTAACTCATGTTCTCTATCTTTTGCTCTTTCCTCAAGTTCTCTTAACCTAACGTGTTCCTCACGTATTTTAGCTTGTCCTCAATACTCTAGTCTCTCCTCATGATCAAAATCTATCACGCTTCCTTTTTGCCTCTCTCTCTCTTTCTGTCTTTCTTGGCTTTTCTCTTTTCAATTCGATCTTCTCTTTTTATCCTCTCTCCAAGGTTCTCTCTCTCCTTTCTTTCTCTTTCTTGGATCTTAGGCTAATGATAGCTTCTAAATTTTTCCCTGTTATTCCTAAACTTACTTCAGCATTCATCCAAAACTGGTATTCCTCCCATACTTGCAAGAATAAACTTAAACTACCAGGGGGAAAAATGAAACGGGTATCAAAGAAAAACGAGGGCTCAATTCCTGCTCCGCTCAAGCTAAATAAACCAGAAGGCTCAATCCCTGCTTCGATTAAAAAATATGTATTAATGAATACAAAGGGTTTAATGCCGGCTCCGAGCAAACAGTAAGTAGAAAGGGGTCCCTTGACCATCAATCTTCTC